AGGGAGGGAGGTGGGGCCAGTTGTGACTGAGCAGCTGTTTTAATAACACAAGAGTAAAAGGACACAAGTTTAATCTCCTGGAATTGGTTCTGTAAAGCTCTGCCAATAAAGTTGGATCTGGGCAGGATATAGGAAAGGTGAGGGGAGGGGGTGTGGAGAGGGACAGATGAGTGTCACAGAGGAGAGGAAGAGAGGGGGGAGAGGAGAGGAGGGGAGGGAAGACATATATACAAAGGTATTGAAGTGGAGGAATAAGAATAAATATCAGAGGAGGAAACGACGACGACGTCGAGGATCAAACTGAAACAAAGGCACCAGTCAAAGAAATAAATAAACAGAGAAACAGAGAAGCATATAATAACAATAATAATAACAAATATATATATATATATATATATATATATAAGGAAACCTTTACAGAGATAATAAAAGACGAAGAAGATGAGAGGGAAGAAAAGATGAGTCTGAGCTGGAAATTCAGTCTCTTTACTGTTGGGGTTCTTTTGGAACATATTAAAAAATATATATATATATTTTATTTCATCATCACCTGGTTCTAGTTTTTCTTAAAATGTGGTTGTATAACACAGCCTGATAATTCTGGAGTCAATCGAGAAGTTCTAAGACCTTTGACTGGACCAGATTTTTATGGAATTTTTTATTTTTTTTAAATGAAGCGTTTTCAGATGTTTTCATTTTTGCCCAAACTTGAATTGAAACCTGTTCAAATGACCGCAGCTCATGGCCAGGTTCGGATCTAGAACCATCAAAAAGTTTTTAGAAAACAGGAAAATAAAGATGAAAAGGAAGACAGAGAGAGTGAGAGGCAAAGGTGGAGGGTGAGGAGGGGGAGTAAATCAAATAAGGGAGCAGGAAAGTGAAAGAAAAAAAATGAGTGGGGTGGGGATGGAGGTGTGGGGAGAGGAGGGGAGGCAGGGTGAGGATGAAGTGGTCAGATGACTGTTTCCTCCTGAACATCACAGCACTATTTGCAGCAGCAGCGTTTTGTTGTGAATGACAAATATCCTGTAAATGAATGATAATGGCTTGTTTAGCCTGAGCCCCCCCGCCGAGCCCCCGCTGCCTCCTATTTCCTGTTAATATCTCTGCCTCCAGCCCGGCTGACCTCTCCGCCGCGCTTCTATTTCTATTAATATTTAATGCTGCACAAACGGCGCCCGTGCTCCGTGCGACCCACGTGGCTTCACCTCCTCATCGCTGCCCCCTGCACGCCTTTGTGGCGCGTTTGCCGGTGTTTACGAAGCGTTTTTCATGTTTTTCCCGTCATTTGCTGAAGCCGTTTCAGGCCTGATTGAATTCACGATCTCAAAATACGACCGTGATGTTGAACGCCTGCGACTTCTGCTGTGGCCCTAATGGCAACAATCGTCCGTGCGCTGATGGTTTTATTGTGGCGGGGAAGTTGTGGAGCGGAAGACGTAAACGTTAGTGTCTCTCTTCAGTTCAGCCTCCGTGCTTCTCAGATCTCAGCGCGCGTGCGTGTGTGTGTGTGTGTGTGTGTGGACAGACACAATATTCATCATTTTACATCTTGATTTTAGGGGTCAAAGTCAAAGTCATGAAATATAACTCCACGGGTGTCAAAGTCAAAGTCATGAAATATAACTTTACAAAAAATATCCTGAACATAAAGTGTTTATGTGTATTTTTTTCTTGTTTCCAAAATTCATCAGGTGGGCCGAATTTAACACCCTGCTGGACCGGTTTTGGCCCGCGGACCATATGTTTGACTCCCCTGCCTTAGGACCGACATGCGTTTGGTCTGGTTACCAGGAAAGCCAACATCATCGTGAAAAACGGACCCACATCTGTGTGCGATCCAGGTGGATTTCAAGTAAGTAATGTTTTATTACGTTGTTTTTGTTGTTGTATTGATTAGGATTTATCAAGTAGTCCACGTGAGTTACTGCGTTAGCATACGGCAACCAAACGAGGTGTGGAGGACAAAAAAAAAAATGGCCGAAATACAGATAATCTTTGTCGACATCTACAACACACACACGCACGTGCGTGACGATGTTCTCCAGGCAGGGCTCGTGTTTCGTCAACGGTATTTAGGCTGAATGTGCCGTTTTACACCAAGGTCAATGTAGGCCAGATAAGATCGCTCATGCTGACTGCAACACACACACACACACACACACACACACACACATACACACTCTCTGCTTGCTTTGCTTGATCTCAACAAAGGTCTGTGACACGGTGACATTTGGAAGTAGATGAAATGACCGCTGCGCTCCACGCTGTACTGCTGCAGGATAAGAGCTCTTAAGACCTGAAAAGAACACACACACACACACACACACACACCTGCTCCACTACCTTTCTGTTCTTTCGGGCCTGGATCAGATCCTGGTCTGAAGCCCATTAAGGACCAGGCGTCTGAGCTGCTGTTTTTAATAAAGACATCATTTAAAGTCCGTACATCACTGCAGCCCAGTCACAGATTTCCACATCCCTCTCTCTCTTTTTTTTTTTTTTTTCCCGCAGCGTGGAATTTAATAACAAATCCCAGACTTTAACCACGACATGGATGATTGATGTCTGGAATCACACCATGGTATTAAATGGATTTCAGTGGTTTGCATATTAGGGGGGAGAAAAAAAAAAACAGCACAGGATTGTGGGAGTTTTTTTTGTTTTTTTTTTTTGTCCTCACCCCATCCGCTGCTTCTTCAGCTTAAGAGCATGTGATTACTGTAAAATTACAGCTTTCTGAAAGAACAATGCTGTTTGCTCAACACCCCACCACCACCACCACCCTCACCACCACCCCCCCAAAAGAAAAGTGGTAAATCCTTGAGTTCCATCTTTAATTGATTTTCACATGCGAGGCGCTAACCAGCTGAGGCCGTGGTGTTTGTGCTGCTCACTGGCACGGATCATTTGTCAGCCACAGAGAGAGTGAGTGCAGCACTTCTTCACATTATGGGGTCTCTGTAAGTGGCATGATTATTATTTTCTTTTACTATTGATTTGTCCTTTTTTCTCTCTCTCTCTCTCTTTTTAAATCCCACTCTCACTGCCCAAGTCTGTCATTATTCCATCTTCTTTGGACTAATAATCCAAAACTGGGAGCTGGGAATTTGTATCTCAGCTCCTTTGTTGTCGAAACTAAAACTGATCGATGGCCTTCGACTCGTCAGCGATGATGAATGTGTGTTAATTACATGTTGGTCTGGTAAAAGATTCAGGTAAGAATCTAAGGTACATTACCGAAAGAAAAACATATATATGTATATATTTATGTTTACATATATATGTACGTTTTTACCTGGATCTTTTACCACCCAACTTGCTTGACATTGGATGCATTTAATCCAAAACCATTTGCGTAAGGTTCAAACTAAAGGTTTTTTTTTTTTGTGCAGCTGTTTGTTTAGAAAAAGAAAACAAAGATATGGCGGGAAACAGTTAACCTAACAAAATACTTAGAATATCATAAATTTTACTCACAGTTGACTGGATCCCCCAACGTCCTGGCCGTGATCGTCTGAATCCCCTCGATCTGTCAATACTGACCTGGAAAATGACTCGAGAAAAAGTCATGTCATTAAAAAACACTGTGAAGCTCCTTCAGTTCCTGTGGAGTTCCTCAGAGTCATGTACTCGCCATGTTCTTCAGTCCTTCAGTTCCCGTGGAGTTCCTCAGTCATGTACTCGCACTAAAAAGAGTAAAAACTTGCCGAAATTTTGATTCAAAATTCAATGACACGCAGTCTTTACGAGCCAGATTTCCCAGCAGCCTTTGGCTCAGTAAAAAGAATTGGTGAGAATTTCCTTACTGTATTTTTATAACATAAAATATATTTGACCTTAATGTTAAACTTTTTCTTTTATCATCAAAAGTCAGAATTGAAACACATTCTGTAAAATTGAAAAGTGATATTGAAATAAATTGAATTGAGCCGTACAGTAACGTAACGTAATGTAACGTAGCGTCCCATGAATGGCACTCGCCCCCATCTTTGGGAACCACCGACCTAGTAGCTTCAGTGGTCTTGCTGTGTAATAGTAACGTAGTCCCAGGTCTTAGATCTAGTCCCCGGTCCAGCTGAAGTCTGTCACGTTGCTGCAGCGCTGCATGTAGTTTCTGTTCTACAGCGCCTCCATCAGACGCCGCTGTCAGCGACAACAGCACTCACAGAGTGACATCTGACGTCTCTGACTGCACGGCGCCGCCGCCGCCGCCCGGTTCATGTTGCACCGACCATTGATTCTCCACGGGGGATCTGGCCGGGTTAGCACGGACAATGGTCGGGCGACTGCAGCGCTGCATTGTCCGGGTCACAGCGTCGGGGCAGGAGAGTGACAGCGAGTGTGGAGCGGCGAGCTCATTAGAGCGGCACTTCTACCTTCTCTTCTCTCGCTCTCTTTCACCGTGTCAGCTCTTAACTCTCTCGTCCTGGCGAGCGGCGCCCTTCTCTGTACTCATTAGCGTCCGCTATCAGACACTGAGTTACAGGTATTAGGCGAGGAACATTGGAGATCGTGAGCCCGTGCGCACGCACGCACACACACTGGCACTTGAATGACACATTAGGAATTAGCCCCGCGTTCAGCCTGCTTCTAATTTTCACATTAAGAAAAGCATATTAAGAAATAATGGGCTCCCCGTGGTTCCATAGCTCTCTGACTCTAGTTATCTCCGTCTCTCTGGACGACTTGGGTCACCGCGTGTGTGTGAGCGCGCGTGTGTGTGTGGAGGGGTGAGAGTTTGCCTCCATTATTCCCCGAGCCCTAGTTTTTCGACAATTATGTGCAGTCCACAGGATGAAGGTCCTTATTCCGAGGCTAAGAGGGAACGATGGCGGCGTTCCAAACCAAACGGATGGGAGGTTGTTTTTTTCATCCAAGTAGAACAGGCTGTCACCGATGTTCTGCTAATGTTCTCTGTGCGATCGTCGTTCAATTAGGTTGTCGAGGCCAGT